ATTGTAACTCAATCCCCTACTGCAGTCTTTAGGTTAAAAGGCAAAATTCAAGCAGGTACAACTTATTTTCTCCAATGTCATCAAAACCTTCTCTCTCTTTTTTTTCTTTTTAACCCCAAAACATTTTTGCTAGGAGTTCTGTTGTCACTTTTCTCAGTTTCTTGAAATGAGAAATGAGAAATATCACTTGGTGTGGCCATTTCTCGTCACCAAATCAGACACTTGCAGTATAGGCAAAGGTGACTTATTTCCCTTCAAGAATATCTAAACTCTCTCACATCCTTAAGAATGGAAATACAGTACTTTTGTACTTCTCAGAAAAAATGGGGAGAGAAGAGCTGGGTAATTGGCATGAAGGCCTCACTCTTGCTCCCTCTGATATGCAGATGTCACAGAAATGTTCAATCATGCTGGTTGAAAAGGACAGCTGGGCAGCAGCAGTTGGTAGGCAGAAATGGGCTATGGTATAAGGTAAAAATCCCACTGCCTGCTTACAACACAAAAACTTTAAGCAAGGGATTAGGAGAGTAACATTTCTAAAGGGTAACCATGAATCCAAGGTGATTAAAAAAATTAAGAGGATAAAGAACATTTTTACAGCCAAATTTTTAGAGCCTGGAAGCTAGAAACAATTTATAAAGGGTGATTAAATTCTGGTGAATGTTTAAATTTTACAAAAGCTCATTAGAGCAAAAGATACATTGCCAAGAATGATGGAATGCTGTTGGGTGGATATTTTGAGGAGGGTTAGTGGCAATATGTCTTTTACTATAATAAATTTTAAAAATTTAGACATTAACCACGTATGACAATCACGCCTCCCATAACCTGTATAGGAAGTAAGTGAGAACGAATGTTTGCTAGCAGTACAGAGGTGGTTTTCTGGTCTGAATGTTATGGCTGAAGATGGAGGCAGAAAGGGAATGACACTGTCTGTTAAAAAGAATGGGCTTCTTCTTGAATGCCTCTGTAATATGAATTCCAGCTTGTGGTCTTCTATACTTACTCTGTCTCTACTTCCCTTTTGGGTATTTGAATTGAGTTCTTGTACTTTAATCCCATTTCTTAATACGAAAGGGAATTTTGTTCAATCTAAATATCCAATAAGATGTTTCAGTACATAGGGCTGATGTCAAAATACTGTTTCCAATCACCTGCAGCTGCCTTAGGTTTGACCTCTGAGGTTTATCTTAAGATAAAATTTTCCCTGGAACATGAGCAAAGGAAGGAATCTTAACATTTTTTGAATTTTTAAGATGTTGGTGATCATCAAACCTTTACCCTTAACGTACAGACTCTGAACATGTTAGCTTTGTCACTCCACCGTGCCCAGCTGTTCTCAAACTTATAGTTTTTATAGACTACATGAAATTTTATTTGCCTTAAAAATTTTTTCAAAAACATTCATATACATGAAGAAAGAAAAAATGCTTATCATTGTGTGGTAATAACACCTAAAATCTGCCCTTAGCAATTAAAGAATACACTGTATTATTAACTATAGATCTTGTGAACCTACTCTGAGATTTTGTACCACTTGACTAATATCTCTCCAACCTCCACCCATTTCCCCATACTCCTGGTATAACTACCATGCTACTGTCTCCTGTAATTCACTTATCATAGATTCTAAATATAAGTGAGATAATATGCTACTTATATTTCTGTGCTTGGCTTGCTTCTCTTAAAGTAATGTTGACCAGGTTCATCTGTACTATAACACGATTTCCCGTTTAAGTCTGGTTCATTTTCTCTTGTGTAGGTATACATTTTCTTCAAACTATGTTACCTGTGCCACAGCAGGCTGTTATGATTGAAAGCTCTAAAAGTTTTTCCATCATTGCTATAGGCTGTCTCATCAATAGCTTATTTTAAAGTTTATTTTCCTATAAGTTAGACATAAGCAGCAAACCCTAAGCTTACTAACCCAAGAAAGGGTGGAGCGCAGTCTGATAGGATCTGCTCTTGGAAACTTTTACAGTGCCCCAAATTAGAAGATAAGGGAAAAAAAAATAAAAAAAAATAAAAAAAAAAGAAGATAAGGGAGAAGAAAGGTGTGGACTCTTAGTAGAGAGACACATAGTCAACCAGGATGAGGAGATGGACAACAGGTCTTATCTGCAAGAATAACTGTCCATCCTCAGATATTTAGAGCAACAAAACTCCTGCAGGTGAAGGGAAGAGAATGTAGGGCAGTCTGAATCCATCCATGGTATGGACTACAGAACCATCACTCTATATGGATACAGGAGACTAGGTTGCCAAATAAATGCTCCACAAAATAAGTAGTTGGAGGGAAAGTGAAATAAAGTGACTTTTTCAGAAAAACTGAAGATATTAAAAAATGACTTAATTATTTTGGATTGATTTGATTTGATCAGTTCATGAGTCAAAGAGGAGATAACTGTCAACTAGAAATGACTTTCCTAAGTTTGGAGGTAATAGTGAAGATAAAGACGAGTTTGGGATGGCAAATTATTCTTTTATATGACACAATAGGCTATGTAAAATTGAACAAGTGCCATAAAAATAGTTTAAGAATGAAGGTTCTGGAATCAATCAAGTTACTAATTTAGCTAAGAGACAATATTAATAGAGTAAGTTAATTGTCCCAAGTGATACTTTCCCTTAGAGCAACTTCAAGCTTAGTAATTTTGGCCAGAGGCTATTCAATTCAGGTGTAAATTATAAAAAATTTTCCCTGAAAAAACATTCATTTTTCTCTGTTGATAAGACTAAGTCAATAAATATTCCACAGTTAGAAAACTAGTAGCAATATATATGCAGAAGTATATTCTATAGGAAATTTCTCCTATAATATTCCCATGGTAAAAAAAAAAAAAAAAAGATAAAAAAAAATATTCCCATGGTGAAATGTTTGGGAAACAAGTACTTATTCTCTGAAGTTTCACAGGATATTAATTAGCTCAAGAAGCCCCTGGAGAAAACCTGGCAGGTTCCATGGAGAGGATTAAGTACTGCAATTATTGTCTTTGGTTGGTCGCGGCATATATCTTGTATTAAGAACAAGGGCATCACGCTCCCTCAAAAACGGACAAATTGACCCTAAGTGACTTCTGCTCCAGGTGCTATGTTAGAACAGGGCTTCTCCCGGTGGTAAGCCCAAATTCCTGGTTTATTAGGTCAGTTTCATTTAGAAGATCCTACACACTTGTATTATAGGGGAAAGCTAAGAATGCATAATTATACACCACTTATTTCTCACAGAGAGATGTGACTTTATAATCATGAAGTGGTAGCTCCTGGCAAGATTTTGAGTATTTAATATTTGAAAAAAAAATTTGGCATAAGGATTGAATTTACTTCAAGATAGATACACTATTCAGTTACTGGAAAATGTAGTTGGGCTTCTGGAAGATCAGAAGTAGGAAAAATAGATTCAACATATTACCTAGGTGTGTATAGTCTTTCCAGTTAACATTTAAAGACTTGCTATAAATATATACTGGCTTTAAGAGACTGAATATATAGATACAATCATGAGTTTTAGTTTGAAACTTTAGAAATTCAATGAAATTTATTTATTTAATCTATTAGAATTGACTCCGAGTTGAGTCAATTATACTTGACCGTTGCTCACGTCTCAGAAGTCTCAGCCTGGAGCAGAAAAGGTTGTCAGTAGTCACAATCTTTGCATGTAGCACAGCTATTTCTCTACAAGCTCCAGGCAGGCAGTCCTAGCAAGGACCTTCATCAAACTGGACCTGTGTCTCCCACTGAAAATTGGTCCCCTTGCACTGCTGAGTATTTTCAACGCTATATGAAGGTAAGAATCCAAATTCTGGTCAGATTCAAACTATAGCTAAACTGTTGACCAAGTGACATTAGATGAGTTATTTGACTTTTTCATCCTAGATTCTAGACTTTAGGAATGAACATCCAACATATTTCATTGTCATGAGACAATGCATTAGCAACAGGCAGCAGGTAGAGTTGCTATCACATGAAATGCAGGCAGGAGCCCTGTGAGCGGAGTGACGGTAATATCTAATATCTATTCCTTCCTTAAAAGCAGTTTGAAGTGAGGTCAGCTTGATTTCAAGCAGCTATTAGGGCCAAGAGTAACACTTGTTATTTCAAAATCTCAAGTAATCTAGATGTTTCTTCCTTGAAGAGGGAGAAATAGGGAACCCTTATTTATGTAAGATTAGTTTTCAGAGCATCACCATGGGAGCAGGCTGTTCCTTAGAGTATGACCAGTAGCAGCTAACAGAAAATTCTTTGAAGGGATGTTTCCTTGAGAAGTCAGTATTCTTGAACTTTCCCACCAGTCTTGGTAACTACTAAACTAAGAGACTGCGTGTTAGTTCTGCCTTAAAACTAGGCCTCTTCTGATGAACCCACCTTTAGGGTACCAGTGAAAATCAGATGCCTCCTTTCAGTCACTAATCTAGGTATTGTTTTTCAAACTTTGATGTTCTGATTAAGAAGATCAGCATCATGCAAAAAGTAGTTAGAAATGCAAGTTTAAGGCTAACTGCAGAGCTATTGATCCAGTTAGGGGGAGTACAGCCCTCCCTCCATCCTGAGGCACCTACAGTTAAGAAAGCAGTGGTCTAGAAACTGCAGGATCTTCCTATTCACCTGTAGATTTATAGGGCTTTTCTGAAGGGTCCTGAGCAATTCAGAGTAGGACCATGGCACCTTTGCTATAAGTTCTGTGATTGCTTGGTTGCTCTCATCTTATGAAAGTTTTATTCTATAGCCCATCCTCTTGAGTTTATGAAGTCTGAGTTTATGGAGTCTGAGATATCTAGTTCTTTTACCTACTGTTTAAACTGTCAACCATGAAGTTCTACCAGTATGTTTGTTCTAACTCAGGAGTAGAAGACACTGACATATCCACCACCCCAGGCTGGAAATATGAGGTGCCAAGACCCAATTGGTTAACTCACTTTTACTTTTTACCCTTCAAATAAAAAGCTTGGCACATGGTGGAATTGCAGGCTGGTTTTATTGACACATTTGGCCCAAGTACCTCACTTCCATCTCCTAATAGCTAAGTAGGATACTAACGAGGCTCCGATGATGAAGGTACCAGAAAGTCCTGCCACCCACAGAGCTTGGTGATCCACAGGAGCACCTAGAGGATGGAAATGTAGATTAGTAGATGCAGGGACCAACCAAGTGATTCTGTGTCAAAGACTGAGTCTTCAATAGGAGGATGTTACCTTTTGAGGAATACACAGTGAAGAGTAGGAATGGGGAAAGGACTTAGCCTTGGTTGGATTGGTGGTTCAGGTAGGTGAGGTGTTCTGTATTTACCTGTAGATTTACGAGCCTTTTCTAAAGGGTCCTCAGTAGCTTGGAGTAGAATCATGGGGCCCTTGCTAGAAATGCTGGCAGTTCTGTTCTGAAAATACAGGTCAGATTTTCTTCTTCCTGTAGGAGAGATGATAGCTAGTTATTTGTTAAAATTTTATTTTTGCATCCATGGGGTTAAGGGTAGGAATTGTTATGGTACAAGGCCAATTTCCTTAATAAGTAGGGTTTTATCCTACACTTTGTGGAAACCTACTAGTGTGTTAATAAAATTTGCACTTTTAATTAATACTTACTTCAGTGTCACCAGAATTTGGGTATAAGAGATTATGTTAGAAACAATCCTTAAACTATCACCTTTTCCTGGTAAGGAATGCTTTGACTATAACATGTTTGTAACTCACAGACCTTTGCATAACAGAGGAGGTGTTTGTTAAGGCAGGAAGAGAGAACAGAGCTGTTTTAATATTGCTTCTAATTTTCAGTTTTAATTTTATTTTAAAGATTAAAATAACAAAATAAAGACAAAATCAAAACACAAAAACAACAAAAGCCGTACATGACCTCAAAACAAAATGATAGGCATTAACGATGGTTGCTACATTATGTACTGTTATCTTCAACAAAGTTGCTGAGTCAGCCAGACGTAAGAATGTAAGATTGATCAATCAAAGACAGTAACAAGTAATTGAAACAAGAAAACATTGGAAATGATGCAGCGCTTCACCATACAAGATGGTAGGAGTTCAGCAATGGTTCTTATACTGCATATTGTTATTTTCAGATCATGCCTACTTTTCAGTTATAAAATCTTGAGAAAGGCTAACATGGTTAGCCCTTTAGAATGTAATGGTACTGTACACAGCTGGAGCAGGATAAATATTCAGTGAAATGCCTTGCAGAAATAGTTCCTATGAGTTTATTTTGCACCAGTAAGGACTTGAAGCCACAGAGGTCATGAATCCAAAACAGGGATGAGACAAGTAATAATGGACTGGGCAGAAGTCCATCTACAGTGTGGAAACCCTGGGCTTGACTAGCTAGAGCGTATTCTAAGTCTACAGTAACATCCTGCTCATAGGGCTTTGGGCCATGTTGCAGGCTGCTGTCAGGTAGGTCTAGACACTTACATTGTGAACCATCCCATGCTTCTGTGAAACTGAGCTAGATGAGCTGGCCACAGTGCTGCACATCCATAATCCCAGCACTGTGGGAGGCTAAGGCAGTAAGTTTGCAAGTTCAAGCCCACTCCAGGCAACTTTAGTGAGACTTTGTCTAAAAATATTTAAACAATGGCTGTGGCTGTAGCTTAGTGCTAAGGCTTTTTGTTCAATTCCCAGAAATGTGGGGACAGGCGGGATGAGCCAGGTGTATGCCTGGACTGGTTTGGCTTCTGGTTTGATCAGAGCTTATATAAGAAAAATCCAAGGTTAGACCATCTGAGTATAGCTTACATTTTAAAAGACCTATGTTTCTAGGAATCTAGTTGTCTCCATTTTAATGCATTATAAGTACTTAGATGGTTTAATGAGATCAATAATTAGCTTGGGTCCCTTGTCTAGAGGCTGAGAAAGGTTAGAAGTGGGGCTCAAGTCTCATGTGTGTGGTCACTAGGGTAGGCAGCGGGAACACTCACGGTTGGCGGGAGGACAGGTGACCGTGCAGGATGGCATCCCCTCAGTCTGGCACACGGAAGCACTGCAGTGCAGAAACACCTGGCAACCAACAGAACTCAGGTCATGACATAGTACCACCCGCCACTGTCTTCCAGGCTGCTTTGTCTCCCCTGGAAGATGTTAAAATCACCATCAGGAATCCTGATAGAACTAGAGTCCAGGGGCTGGGGATTTAGCTCAGCGGCAAAGCGCCTGCCTGGCAAGCACAAGGTCGTGAGTTCGGTTCCCGGTACTGGAGAAAAAAAACAAAAAAAAAAAAAAAAAAAAAAAAAAAAAAAAAGAACTAGAGTCCAGATGACAAGTGGCACTCATGTCCTTAGTACCAAGGGCTGCTCTGAGGCAGTACCATCAGCCAGCATTAAAGGGCCCCTGGGCTGAGATGTGGTAGCTTGGGGAAATAGTCCTAAGTGAGGGGGGTTAGCAGCCTATCTAAGCAGCATGGAAAGAGCCATCCTACCTGTCCACTTAGAGCCTGCTTTGCCCTTTTAGAGTCCACAAAGCTGAAGGTGGAGAAATTGAAGCGCTGGTGGTGTGAGGGAAATAGCAGGGATGAGGCTGTGTTGACAGGGATCCTCTGAGTCCGGTAGTTGTCTCCAGCGTAGGGGCAGCTAAGCCAAGAGACCCGAGTCAGGAGAGGCTTCTTTGAAGGACTGGTACACATGTGCAACAACGACTTACCCTTTAACCAGAATGGGCCACTGTGGCTGGTGCAGGGGGTTGCGGCTAGGTGTAGCCCAGCACTGCTGTAGGAGTAGCCCCAGGCTGGGGTCTGTCCTGTGAAGGATGGAGACCTCCACATAGACTGGATCCCGAAGGAACTTCACTACTGGGTAGTCACTAGCCTCATAGTAGGAGCTGTAGTCCTCATCTGCACAAAACCAAGATAGTCAGAGGGTAAAAGTAGCACTAGAAACTTGTAAGTCACTTGCAACCACTTATCACCCCCTAGACACCTGAACACATGTCCTGTGACCAACTTAGGGTCTTTATGCCCCAAAACATGAGGATTTTGCTTGCAGGCCAGGCGCTCCAGCCAAGAAGGTCTTACCCTTGGCAATCTGAAGTTCTAGAGTGAGGGGTCCAGCCTGGGTCTTGGGAAGAGGTGGTGAAAGTGTAAACACCTGGACGTTAACTGGGAATGTGTTACTGATTAATGAATAGCTGCAGCTGACTTGAAGCCTGCAGGAAAAAACACAGTTTTAGCTTGCTAGCTTTGGGTGGGTTGGCCACACATGCTTTGATTTTGTCTCCCAAGCAGCATTAAGTGATGGACATGGTCGCTGGCCTTGTGGAAGATATATTTTAGTCAGACCAATATATAAATTGGACAAACATGAGTTAAGAGATGAAACCATATAATAGTAAATATAGTATCATGATAAACAGGTGTTTGCTACAGAGAGGGTGGGTCAGGGGATCTCTTAGAGGTGACTTGATAAGGAGAATGGCTGAGACCCTGTAGAAGTATGGGAGGGAGAGGACACTTGACCTAAAACAAGGTAAGGGGGTCACAAGGAGCTTGAGACCTTTGGAAGTGCCATAAGAGAAGGCAGCCTGGGGAACAGCCAGCTAGGGACAATGTCAGTCAGGGTGGAGAGGGTCATAGGATTGGTCTCACCATGGCCCTGAAAGTTACGGCCACACTGGATGCTTTAGTGATACAAACACAAGAAAAAAATTAAGTATGAGATGTGGCCACAGTAAGGGCTCAGAGGGATTCTTGTGGCTACAGCACAAACCATGGCAGTGGAAAACAGAATGCCAAAATGAGCAACAGAAAACCCATTTAGGTGGAAGAGCAGAAGTGCAGCTTGGTGGGAGGCTGAGATCAAGCTGGTGGTAGCTATAGATTCAAGGTGAGGTCAGTCAGGTTGACAAACTGAGGCTTTGGACAGATTCTCCGCTGTTCTGTGCATGCAAGTCTTACCCTAGTACTTTGGCTTTATGGAAGATGGGGAGTCATTCTGGCCTTGCAGGACCAAGTTAATTAAGGCCTTACCTGAAGATGCTGTCACGAGTGATAGAGCCATGATCCCAACTTCTCACATCCCTGTTAGCAATTAACTCATTTTCATATACTGTCTGGTCTCCAGTGACCTATCGGAGTGAGCAAAGGGGAGTCGGTCATTCCCACTAGCCAGATGCCACTTCCCTGAATTTGCTTTGCCTTGGATCTCAGGGACACTACTGTGTGAGACATTTCCCATTCTCTGAGCATAGCCACGAGCAAGAGCAGTGGTGAACCTGGGAATTATTGCTTTGCCTGACTGTGAAGAAAGGAATGGGGAAGAGCTTTGAGTGCTAGATAAAGCAGTCTACAACCCTCCCGATTTCCCAAACAGTGCGGGGCAAAGAACCTATTCCCTATTTTTCCTGCTAAATTAGGGAGAGTGGCAACTGAATTACAGCCATGATGATCTCAGTTGCAGGAACAGGACAAGCTCCAGGTTTCTCAGTGTGTTTCTCAGGATGTTTTGCCTAGAGAATGCCCTACACACCACGAAGGTGTCACGACTACACTGACAGGATTCTCCTGCTCTTCCTTGCTCATTGCTAGGATCTTCCCTCCTGACCTCCAGACCAGACGCAAAAATGAAAGGCAACCTGTCCTGCTCACCCAGCTTGTGGTCCCGCATGAAGTAAATGGAAACTGGAATAGGACGAAGGCATGGGTCACCATCACAGGCTCACACTCGCTGTCATTCCCCAGGGCCAGGTGCACAGAATTCAAGCGTAGTGGGGGAGAGGCCACTTCCCGGGACACAGCAATGGAGAAGTGGCCCTCTTGGCTACAGTGTGAGGTTACTGCAAAGCAAGAGGAACAGAGGGTAGTTTGTCCCTCCTGTGATTGGGCCAGCGGACAGACGTCCAATGACTTAGTTTTAACCCACTCCCCTCCAGTCCACACCCATTGGTATTCCCACTGGTAAGCTGGGACAAGTTCAGCTGTGTACATCTCACCCAAGGCTCAGAACCAGCACCTGACCAGAGGCTTGCCCTTGCACCTATTGCGTGACCCAAAGGAAAGGATTAATTTCCTTTTGGTCTCATTTATGGAGCAAGGATAGTGTCACCTGATTCATCTTAGAATTCAGACCTTAGAGTATGACATGTAATTGCTCCTGTAGGAGGGATTTTTTATATTCAAAGAACTTAGAGCATGATTTAGGACCCGTGGAGAGTGGGATTCTTGGAATAGAGCTCTAAACGCAACTGCACACTGTCAGCCACTAAAGCTGTATTCTAGGGGGAAAAGGTTTTCATCACTTAGAAGGCGCCTGGCACACAGACTTAAGTTTCTTGAGGTCACTGAGAATTGTTTGCCTTGTGTTTAGGCTGTGGGAGAGTAGATAATGGAAGGCTGTAGAAAGCTTTATTCCTCAGGGTCTGAAAGTTCTAGGAGGCATCCCATTCCTCTAGGTTTCACAGGTAGTAACTGGGGCTTTTCCTAACTGGCTCAGACGATATAACGCACCTGTGTTTCCATAGTAACAGGAACTGGCTGCTTCTCCTGCAGGGCTGAAGCAGCAGCCCAGCTCTTCACAGTCTCTCTGAGAAGCTAGAGAAGATACACATGGGAATCTGTCCTCCACAGGCACGGAGTCACACAGGTCAGCACCTGAAGGGTCTTGGGCTGGATGTGGAGAAAGGAAGAGTAGCTCAAGCTAACTAGTAGAAGGCCTTTTTAAAAAAAGCCTCAACACTGAGAGCCCAGAGAAACATTTGCAACATATCTGTTCACATTACACTTTAGAGATTCAATCTTAGAAGTAGTAAAAACAAAGTTACTTTGTAATGGGATCCTTAAATGTGGCTTTTTTTTTTTTTTTGAGGGGTGGGATACCTGCAAGACCAGCAGAATTAGTGGGGCTACTTACTTTCCTTCCCATAAGGACCGTTCTCAAGCTTTAGTTACCTTAAGGTAACTTCAGTTACCTTTTTTATGAAATTCAGGTCTTGGGTGTGGTGGCCTGTGACTTCTATTTGATCAGTATCACTCATCCAGACAGTTTTGTGTAGCCAAGCCAGGCCATAATGAGAGTGAATTCCAGGTCCCAATCTGTTCTCACTGAGGTTGGGTCTTAGATCATCAAGCAAGATCTTCTGATGTGGGATAGGCATCATTCTCCCTGAAAATTCCCCTTGATCAAGTAGCCCCAGCTAGGAGGCAGGAGACTTGCACCCTAGCCTAGGAGACAGAGCCAGTTTCGCTGAGACATTGGCCAAGTCCCCTTGCTAGCTCAGCTACCTTTTCTGCCCTTCCATTGCTGAGAGCTCCTAGTCCTGGGCTAATTCTTGTTTGAACTCCAGCACTGCAGGAATGGGTGGCTAGAGCAGGCTTCCTGCAAGGAATAATGCTAGTCATTATAGCAGCTGGTAGTAGTTAGGGGAGAAAAAAACAGAGCAAGGGCCACACTGCCCTCCTCCTGCTCAGGAGGAGAGGAGAACCACTCCTTTCTGAATGTCAGCTGTAACTGCAGAACAAGTAGGAGGCCTGAGGGTCCCTCTAAGGTTGTTGTACTCACCCAGAGCCTGAAGTCTCCAACTGTTACCGGAAAAATTCACAGGACACTTGAGGAGCCTCTTCTTCATGAATATCGTGTGTCCAGCTACGTCTACTCCTTCCACCCCGATCGGCAGGGTGTAGTAAAAGCCCTGGAGAGATAGCCCTGGGAAGTCGGCCCGGCCGGCGGTAGGAGGGTCTCAGTGTTGTTGGCATCTGAGTTCTACTTACCCGCTCCTTGACATAACAGCCGCTGTAGTTGGCTTCCAATGTCACTGAGCCGCCGGGGTCCTCCCTCACCCGCGTGCCACACTCGGAACTGTTCAACAGCCTGTGTGGCAGCCCTCTGTGGTCTGCAGGGAGGGAACATCAAAAGCACCCCTAGTCAGTCATCCTGGTTACCAGTGCAGGGAATGGACAGCTAGCCGGACCACTAAACCCCATGAAACTGCCCATAAGGGGAACTTAGCAGACAGCTTCAGAGGTAGGTCTATCTCTGACTGGCCTGAAGACAGCAGCTAAAGAGCTCCTTAATGGAGGGAACCATCAAGTCAGGAAGCTGGGTAGCAGCTCTCCGGGGCAGAAGTCTTTCTTGGCTAAACCAGTAGTGGTCAAACCTACCCCAAGCTAGGAACACAGGCATCATGCCATCCTGGTGGAGATAGTTCACAGTGAACTGAAAGCTCTGCTGCCCACAGTGGAGCACGCCAGGCTCACTTGGAGCCCCCAGTATATGCTGACCACTCAGGGCAAGTGACAAGGAGAAACACAGCAAGAGATGCTGCATTAGAGACATGGTGCCTCGAAGAGCCCCGGCCGGGTGAGAACCTTCCTCCTCCTCTCCCACGAGCCACTCTTCACCAGCTCCAGATTTTCTTATATAGAGACAAGGCTTGGTTTCAGGTGCACCTTTAACACTTTTAGGTAAAGTGCCTCGGAAAGGGTAGTCTTTCCAGGTTCTTCCACTCACAGGGCACAGGCTGCAGCTGAGCCACATTAACTAGCACAATCCACGGAGTGTTCAGAGCCCAAGGAAAATGCCGTTTCTTTGAGGTAACCAAGGCTTTCTCCGGTTTGCTTTGTGTGTCACCAGTTTCCTGACTTCAGACCTTCTCCTAGAAACTGGCATATTTGGGTGTGGATCCCAGCTCTGCCATCTGCAGCGAGGAGATTCTGTTAAGTCACTGCCTCTCAAAAGCTCCATTTCCTCTTGGTAAAATGGAAACAATATCTCCTGGCAGCAGTATGCTAGAAGGCCAAGGGAGATGGTCTATATCATGTGTCCAGCAAAGTCCTCAGCCAGGACACACGGGCTGGGCCTGCGTTTTTGGGTGCTTATTGGTGTCCTTTCTCTTGTTCTGAGCTTTCATGAGAAGTTGCTGAATAATTGGTTTCTGACTTGAAACCTCATAAAAATTTAAAACTGATTCCTAAGAAAAAATTAACTTCTTTGACTTCTGGTCCTGAAAAATCTCAGGACAGAAATCTCTTCTTGGCAAATTCCAAAGTTTTAGTTGCCACCTTGTCCTATTAGATATCTTACCAGGATAGAGTGGGAAATGTAGGTAGGTCACGAACTCCCCAAACTAGTTCTACCTTTTGCACCTAAACTTCTTAGTATCTTCCTGTATTTGGGACATTTCCATGAAGGCACTGAAGTTTCTTTTTTGCTTTCCTTCCGTACTTTGGCCCACATTTTGTTGTAGGACACAAGGTACTTGCTCTGTCTTTGGATTAGCTCATTGTTGACCAGGCTGCCAAGAATTTCTGAGGGCTTTAGGGATGAGGAGAGGCGAGAAATGAGTCTGGAAATTGGCTTCCATAGTCTCCCACCAATGTCCCTAAGTGGTCATCTGATTGTATTTACCTTGACATTTATCCTTTGAAAAATTTTCCTGCGTGAACTAAAAATACCAGCTAAGCACTGACATGGCAGAACGAGGGATCTCTGATTCTCTTTAGTGAAAGCAAACTAGTAGATATGTCTTCAGGGAAATTGGGTGACCCCTTTAACCATGGGGTGACGAACCCAAGGGAATGTGGACTCTGCCCTCACAGGTGGGAACTGGTTTCCCTGACACCCTACCTGGATGAGGCATTCACAGTGGTGGTGTGGGGGATCACATCCCATTATCTGCCCACAGGATTAACCACACTGAACTGTAACATCTTCCTCACTCACTTTCCCTACTAGAAGCACTTGAGGACAGACACTGTTTTACTTGTCCTTGCATGTTGAGTACAGAGGGAACCACTTTTGTTAGTGCCTGGTCCTGTGGCCATATGCCTTGAAAGTGCGGTTTCAAAACCTCACTGGTCCAGACTCTTTCTTTTATGGTGAACTCAAATTTACAGTCCTTGAGTATTTTTCCTTTAAGTAAATATACATGTGATTGCATGGATAAGAATATGAGAGGTAGACTTCTACAATATGTCACAGGAGTTAAAAGTCCAGTCTTCTTACTAGAATTAGTGATGTTGCTTTATGAAGTAGTGGAAAAAAAATCAAGGCATGTGGGCATTTTGCTAACACCTGGAGGCATATAGTGGACTCATTAAGTGGGAGATGTTATCACAATTAACAGGCTGTTGATAGCTAATGTGATGTATGTACAGTACTTCTCACAGTGCTTGTTGCATGATAATCATTCACTATATTGTTACTATCAACAAGACCTGCCTGGGGCATAAAGGCGTAATGGAAGTCTGACAGGAAACAGGTGCCAAGTAACGCATTCATTGGATCAGTGGGAAGTTTGATAAGTAGCCTGGTCTCAGGGCTCTGCAATGACATAAGCTGGTGAGGAAGTTTAGCCAGTGTAATACCAATCACCTGGATGCTACAGAAGGTTAAAAATGAGTTCAGAATCAATGCCATGGTGTTTGAATTTGGTGACTTCATGCTTGTTTCTGTGCCTTATCCTTTAAGGACGTGGTTATTTTACTGCACTATTCAAATTCAGAGTAAGAAAATTCAGTGACAATGTGTGAGCCTCTTCAAGAAGCCCCAAGATTAACAGATAAAGTAGCCTACCTCCTATTATCTCTCCTCTGTCTTCTGAATTTGGAAGGGGGTGTGATATTCTTTATCTCATATCAGAATCACCTGGCCATTCAAACCTCATTTTAGGACCGTTACAATCAGATTATGAAGCTATATAACTTGTAGAGACTTACCCCAATCCAATAATCACTGCCATAATCACTGGATGCATTTCATAGGCAGAGTTATGATATCCACTGTCACTTATGAAAGTACTTGGAAGTTCTACATAGTGGGCTACACTGCCCCTTCCTCATCCACTAATCCAACTACTCAGGATCCCTTTGGGAGGGGAGAATGAGAGAAGCCTGAGCCACTAGAGAAAGGCAAATACATCTCCAAAAGTCATGCTCAATCTGGACACCTTCACAGTGGAATATTTCCATTTAAACTACAGAACAAGGGCACCCCTAAACTAACTTTATAGGTGTTCCCTTCAGTGAAATATAGGTATACTCAGTGCTTTCTCTAAAGATCAATTGCAGTTGAGTAGTATGGGAGTTGTTCCAGAGTGCTTCCTGGCTGTTGAGTGGAGACTTCTTAGCCTGTGACATTTTTAGTGGTTTCCCCACTGTCACTGGAGCAGCATTCCCTAATGGGAGGAGGTGATTCCAGGCGAACAAGGCCCCAGGAATCCTTCTTCGAGTGTGAAAAAGCAATAATCAAAATTACCCCCAAACAGGGAGGACCAATTAGATCATTGTGCATGCTAATAAGTAATTAAGAAGTAAAGAAGGAGCAGCCAGCTGATCCTGGCATGTGGTAGAAATCAAGGAACTTCTTTTCTGCAGGAAGATGGCAAGCTCAATGTACTGCAAATGTTTCTATGGTTTTTCTCTGCAAGCAGTGAGAATGAAAAGTGACCTAAAGTCACTTGTGAGATGATGGGTTCCATCACAAATCTCTCCTTTCAGTTCCTCTCTCTCTGTCTCTGCTCAGGGCCACAAAACCCACTCTCAAATGCTACTGTGATGGATACATGGAACTTACTCTATTCTGACAAGACTGGGCGCATTCAGGGTGGTATGGATGTAGACGGCACCTACTCTATTCCGATTTCTTCCTTACTTTGCCAAAGTCCATCATGATGGGAACCATCCTTCCCTATCACAGACAGAATGAGGCCCAGCTGAACAGTTTTTCTTTTTACTTTCAGAGGAATTTCAACAGAATATAGTGACTCTCTCTCTCTCTCTCTCTCTCTCTCTCTCTCTCTCTGTCTCTCTCTGTCTGTCTCTCTCTCTGTCTCTCTGTCTCTGTCTTTGTCTCTCTCTCTGTCTGTCTCTCTGGAAGAAGAGGTAAAAGATTTTGTAAGAGGGGAATAAATTGCTGAAGAAAGAGCTAAAATTAAGTTTGGGATGGGATCTAATGTAAGCTTGCTATAAGTCTTCTGGCCTGCACAGGACATCTCTGTTCTTATGCACACCCACCCCTGGTTACGTGCATGTACTTAAGGGCATGTCCTGATCTTTGCTGTCTACACTGCATAGGTGAACATGTGGGATTAGCAGATTGTAATAAGTTTTAAGCACCATAAAGCAGTAAGGTATCTCTTCAGTGTCATCAAAACGTATAATTGTGGCTCCTAATTTTGAGTTTTAAAACACTAACAGGAAGAGGAAAACCCTAACTCTAGTGGTTTCAAGTAATTTGATTTATGGCTTGTGTGAATATGGCAAGTTGATCCTAGATTAGCCCCTGCCCACTTATAATATTTTCAAGCCCATGTGAACTTACTCCTCCTCCCCAGAGAAAGCAGTGCGTGTAGAAGGAGCAAAGTTAATGGCCAGACAGACTTGCAGCTGAGCAGGGCTGGGATCAACAGGTACCACTGCAGCATTCATTGGCCTTTCACTTGGATGTGAGTAGTAGCAAGTGTTAGGTGGATATGCTATTGAAAATGGCCAATGTGAGGAGTGTGTGTTGAATTCTTTCCTGTATTTCAGTATAATGGGACTTCCCTGATGAAGTATCATGGACTGGGAGACTCAAAACAATGGAAATGCATGGTGTCACAACTGTGGAGGTGAAAAGTTTGCTATCACAAAGTGAGAAAGGCATGCTCACTGAGAAGCACGTAGGGGAGACCCCTTCCTTGTCTCTGTGTGCCTTGGCTGGTGGATGAATCCATCTCTTCAGTTTCACACATTACAATCCCTGTGAGTCTTCCTGTTGCCTTCCCTCTGTGTGTCTCTCTCTATGTCGATATTTCTTTTATTGTAAGGATACTAGTCATATAGAATTAAGGCCTACCCAAATGATCTCATTTTTACATGATTACTTTTTAAAGACCTTGTTTCCAAATAAGGTCATATTCTCAAGTACTGGCATCTAGAAATTCAATATATCTTCATGTGTTTGTGTTGAGGGGGTAGAATTCATCCTATCACATCTTGCAAACTATTATAAACTTACATCAGCCAGGCTATTCATTGTTTGGACTGGACATTTTTTAAAAGGATGAATTTGCTTGTGAAAGTAATGTATATTTCCTTGTGAAAATTCCTAACCTGGCTTTGATTCAACTAAAGAGATTTTGTAATTCAACTGAAGGGATTTTGTAATTCATTTTCATTCAGAGGGAAAGGCTCATTTGTATAATTCATGGCTGAATAGGTTGGTACTGAGGGCTGTTTGAGTTCAGAGAGTGGAGAGAACCAGTAAGCTAGGACAGTTCAAGGGTAAAAGACTTAGGAGGAAAGATGACCATTGCCTTATGCTGAAAACTGCTATGTTCTAGTGAAATTGCTTTC